GTAGAAATTTTGATGTAATTTTTTAATATGCAATTTTTATTTATTATTGATTTACCAATTTGTAATTAAAATTATTTCAAAAGATGATAAATTTTTCCTCGTAACTCCCAATTTGCAATAAAAAATAGGAACGGAAAGAGTATATAGCAAAATTTTTAATTTTCTATTTATGTGTTTAAATATGTTCCGTCGACCCGTACACGTTAGCTCTTAGTCATGAACAAACATCGATTCGAACCTAATTTGATCCAAACCCAAAATAACCTGAACTTGATAATAAACCTAAGTGTTGTTTTGATAGTTACTCCCTTCGTCCCAAATTATTTGCCACATTTGTATTCCTGAGACAAAATATCAAATTTTTTCAATTCATTTTATTTACATATTGGTATAAAAATAAAAAATAAAATTTACATATAAAAAAATACATGAAAAGTTCTTCGAAATAAGAAGTGTCAAGAATATTTTATTTTATCAAATAACCAATGAAAACGTCGAAATAAACAAAAGTTCTCGCAACTACTGAAAAAGCAAATGTTATGAATATTTAGGGACGGAAAAGTATGTCAATTGAAAAGACGAAATAAAGCGTAGAAAAAATATCATACAAATAGCACCAAAACAACCAAATCCACAAAGACAAAGCACCCAAAGATTGTAATCAATAAACGTTTGATTAGTTATAGTCTCATTGATTTGGTCACAATCAATACACGTCGCATAGAGCCAAAATTTGTTTAGTCAGAAGAATTTTCCAGGAAAACATGACCGCCCACCAGGCTTTTTTGTTCCTAACCACAATCTTTATTTTTTTTGTTTTTGTTTATAATTAGTTTCTTTTTGTTTTTTTGCAAGTTGTTTCAATTAAAAAAAATATCTTAAACCTTGTCGTATCACGATTAAATATAGGTGACATGACTTTCGTTTGGCATTAGGTTTAGCATTTTAAACATGGAATATCTCATGATTGTTTTTAGCATTTTTAAAATTAATTTGCACCTTTAAAAATTAGTATATACGTTAATGATTTTTGAGTGATTTTTTTTCAAATGAAGGCAATGATCTTTTATTGTGGAGGAGAAAAATGACTTTCGACTAATTTTTCCGTTTTCCGAAGTTTGATTCTAACAGAAAATAAAAGTCAGTTGGAATGAATTTTTTTGAAGTTCACGAAAAATGACCCTTATTTAGGGAAAATTAGTTTTGTTTTTCGGTGGAAGATATTTTCCGCCTTTCTCCTACTTCTTAGATCAAAACTCATCCTGTTCCATTATTTCTAAAAGCCATTTTTCATCTTTTCAATATAAGAGTAAATTTAGAACTCTTAGGCTACATTTCGTTCGCCTGATCTGATTTAATTTTATTTGATTTTCTGAACATTTTGTCTGATCTGATTAGGTCTGATTTAATGTGATTTGATTGTAGTTATAATTAAAGTTGTTTCTGATTTGATCTGATCTAATCTGGTCTTATGTGATCTGATTAGAATAAGAATAAGTAATAAGCAGAAAAAATAAATTGAACGGAATGCTGCCTTAGTCTAAATGTTATGCCTTTTTATTCTAATATCAACATGCAAAATTTGAATCTTCTCATATAATTTAATTGAGTTGGATTCATTCCTTTTTGCAAAAAATCAAATCTTTCATCATTTTTACACTAAAGTTCATAGAATGAGTATAGACGTCAACACCGTCAAAGAATTTGCTTTACTTCAAAGAAATTAGATTGACCATGTGACAATTTTTAAATCATTGTTGATATAATAAAAAATATTTTAGCAAACTTTAAGGGTACCCGGGAGCATAATATAGCCAACCTAAAATATGTATTGGGCTGACCCTTTTAGCCGAAAGCTGGCCCGCACAAAAGATAACTGAGTTTTAGTGGGGCGGTCAACTAAATGACTAGCCCGGTCCACCTACTACGTCCCATGCTCCTCCAAACGCATTAGGCCAAACGGTCTGGTTGCCGTCCTTTTGACCGGCCAATGCGCCACAACCGGTCCAAGGGCGGGTCTATGTGCATCTAAATTGGGTCACTAGCCCCAAATTAATTTTAAGACCAATGCTAGGGGTACACCAAAAGTGTACCTCAAATGTACATCACTCCCTTCTCCACCACACAATTTTATTAGATTTTTATTTACTTATTTTTTTAAATTTTTTTGTCTTTTTTAGTGGACAAGGATGGGGTGGGGGACATATGGGGTACACCTTTTGGTGTACCCCTAGCATTTTTCTAATTTTAAATATTTAGTAGCACAATAAATTTTTAAAATTGTTTTACGTGCCCCGTTAATAAAATAAAAAGACCCCATTCAAAAAAAATCTCCGATGTAAAGAAATTTTAAGTTGAAATCAAATATTTAACATTAATAAACTAACATTATATATATATATACATACATACATACATACATACATACACACACACACACACACACACACACACACACACATATATATAATATTTTATTTCCTATTTGTACATGTAAAAATTAAATCTTTAATATATGGAGTATTAAATTTCACTTTCATATAATTCATAACAAATTAATAATATATAACTTTTTTTGCTTAAAAAAACTTTTTAAATATTATTACTTTTGACTGTCTCATTTCATTTATTCTATTTTTTTAAATTTTAAATTTTAAATCCTAATTGTTTTTTGAATTTATTCACTTTTAATTTTATTTTTTTTACATATGTTATTGAATTTTTTTTCAAGAAAAATAATAAAATATAAATAATTTTTCTAACACCCATGTCCAAAAGTTACTATCCTTGGCTTTTTAGATTTTGACTTTCCAGATCAAAAAGCCAAGTGAAAATGCTATTAACAAAACGATGTTTTTGGCTGTTCGATAAGACAAAAAAAAGTCAGTCAAAGATATTCAAAGCCAACCGAAAAGTTATTTTCCAAACACATCCATTTTATACGAGTTTATTGCACCATGTGGTTTGGTAAATGTGCATAGTTACCCTCTATGGTTTCCGCCAATGCCTCTTTAGACTATAATATTCTTCAAATATTGTGAGAATAGCTCCACAGACCCATATGGTTTTGGAAATTGGCACACACACCCCCCTTTTCTTTATTGTGTTTCAATTTTCTATTATTTTTCATAAATGTTTTTAATTTCTTTTTTAATTTTATTACAATGTTTTAATAATCAATTTGTTTTTGTGTTTGCAATAAAAATGAATTACATAAGAAGAATTAGCAAACATTTCATTTGTCTCAAATTAAAAAAATTCATTTTTTGTCCAAAAGATATCCTTATTGGTTCATTTCCATGATACGATAATCAATGAAATATTCTTTTTTTTTTTACAAAAGTTCATTATTTCTCATTCTCATTTTTGTTAATTAATTTTATACTATTTTTTAAATCAAAATTAAAATAAAAGAAAAAAGAATAGAACACAAAATAAAGAAAAAGAAAAGTATATGAAAAAATACTTTTATAGAATAGGAAAAATTAAGTCATCAAGGAAATTTTTTGTGCATTGGTCCAAAATATGTTACTAATATATAATTAACTGTATACTCCGTATTAAAAAGATGTTACTCAGTATTCTTTTGGCCCCGACATATTCCAAAAGACAACATTTTTTAGACAAAAACGAGAATATTTAATTTGACAAATGAAGTATATGTTAAATTTTTTATTTCATTTTTTATTTCAAACACAAACATTTTTATATTTTTTAAAAGGTTTTAAAAAAATGTAGGTTTCAAACAACAAATTTTCATTATTTCACACAGAAACATTTTTCTTCTCTTTATGAAAAAAGAAAAGAAAAACAATAATGAAAAGGGAGAGAGGCTATTGGTGCCGATTTCCAGAACCATAGGGGGAAGTGGAGTTATTCACCTAATAATTGAAATATATTTTTGTTCAGAGGGGCATTGTTGTAACAATATTAGAACTATGAAGGATAACGACATAAGTTTTGACACCATTAAAGGTAAAAGTACACATTTACCAAACCACAGTGGGTGTTGGTGCAATAAACTCGACCTTGTAGAAATATGTATTCAGAGTATCTTTTTAGAACAATACAAATATGTACTCTTTCGGTCCATAATTTGATTACAAATTGGGAGTTACGAGACAAAAATTTTCGTCTTTAAGAAATTATTTTATTTACAAATTCGTACATCAATAATAAATAGAAATTATATATTAAAAAACTATATCAAAAGTTCAACAAAACGAGACGTGACCAGAATATTTTATTTTATCAAATACTCAATAAAAACACGCAAATAAGCAAAAGTTATCGAGAGCAGAGAGAAAAAAATTATATATTCTATTTTGGGAGGATGAGAGCATTTTATATTGACTGAAGCAAGCATTATTTTATAATAGTGTTTGGTGTGACATGCATATTATATTCCTTTTAATATTACATAAAAATAGATGCAAATACTTCTATATATTTTATTGTACGGCGGCATAAAGAGGTTCTACATTTTGTTTATAGTTTGCCAAAAAAAATTCACTTTCTACTTTTGAAAAAAAATTGTGGCCTATATTCTATTGAGGAATTTACTTAAATAACACTAAAACATAATGACTTTTCCCAAATAGCATCACATGTGTTTTTCTTCCCAATGTAGCACTTTTAGTCATTATGCATTAGTCATTATTCAAGTAAATATTCGCCATCACAGAACATTATTAAGTGCTATTTAGAGAATAAAGTGGTTTAAGTGCTATTTAGAAAAATGACTTAAGTTTTAGTGCTATTTAGTGTAAATATTTCTATTATATTTCTAATTTGCACCATTTTAACAACCTAATTTCAATTTTTTAAGTTTAAGTCAAACGTGGAATCTTTTTACAAAAGCAATGAAATATAAAAAAGTTTTGGATATTACTTTCATAGACAGATATACACATGACATTATACCCAAAATTTGCAAATATGATTTATCTGTCCAGATATTTGTGCAAAAAATCAACTTCAATTTGTGTTTGTGCATGTCTCATAGAAAACTAATTTTAGTATAATTTTAGAAGACCTAATCTCTCATCCATAATTTTGTCCTCTCCAAAGAAAACGAAATAGTAATCACATCAATGAAATGAAACAATAATCTAAAAAGCATTTGACACTAATTATATGTGCTTTGACGTGGAAATGATTTGTACAACTACACAACAACGCGTGGTTTGATTTGTTTACGTGACCGCCCGCCATTTTGACTTTGTTTTGACTCTTTTCTTTTTTCTTTTTTTAACTTTTGGCCACGGTAAAAGGTAAAAAAACATCCGTTTGCTCCGCGGTAATTCTTTTAGGTTTGGTCGTCGCGTTGACCCCAAACAGCCCGCTTCATTGGTGGCGCATCTTAGCGCCGGCTCAGCGTATCCCACAAAGATGCGCACTTCCGTCGGGCAAACCCGACCCGTTTGTTCTCCAAATCATACGCCACCTCAAACCCTTGCTGTTGATAGTTGCCAAGTAATCCGGCGGGCCCGCCGGAATCCTCCTCCTCCGCATCGCCGCCGCCACCGCCGATCAGCATCATGCACCCGACTTTCCTTTTTGAGCTAATCTTACCATCCCCACCGTAGGTAAACTCGTAGAAATAGTTTCGGGTGGGCATCGCCACGCTGGAATTTCCCCCAAAATGTAACCACACTCGGGGTACTTTCCACGTGGCGTTACCGGGACCCATATAGTAACACGGGCCCAACCCCGTTTTCTCCTCCACGTCACCCGCTCTCTTGTAATCTGACCCGATTTGGTTCTCGAACTCAGAGACTACCACCTTGTAAAACTCCCTCGGGAGCATGGTGAAAGTGGTCCCTGAGTCGACAACCATCCCGCCATTTCCTCTCCGGTCAACCCGCCGGAGACTCTCTGGGGCGGCAATTCTTTGCCTGCCGACAGAGACGGCTTCGAGCCCAACACAGTAGAAATATGGGTGTTTCGGGTTCTTCAGCATCGGCGTGTAAGCGAAATCGTCTTCCGGGACCCGTTTCGCCTTGTTTTGGCCAATCGAGTTCCGACCGAGGATGAGCGGGCTCGGTCTTCGGACCCGCTCAGAGTCAAAGGAGTGAGAAACAAGACAGTAGGAGAAATGGTAGCCGATGTCGGGGGATGAGCTGGCGAGCTGAGCCGGCATCGAGAGGGCCCCACGCCCGAACCCGGCGACCCCAATCGGCTCGCCGAGAGCGCTATGAGCGCAGCCGAACGTGAAGTTCGGCAGAACCAGCGACGGGGACGACATGGGAACGGTCAGCCCGTCGCTATGGAGCTTCGCCACGAAGCTCCCGTCGCCGTAGGCGTAATAGAACGGCGGGCAGGCATGGGTCCCACAATCGGAGGTTTCGATCGCGTCAAGCGGACACTTCCCCTTGGCACAGAGGTCAGAGGAGGACCCCGAGGAGTGGACGGCGGAGCAGGCAGGGGACTTGCAGGATACCGGCGCGGCGGAGGTCAGGTTGAGTGGGCCCGGATTAGGGACGGCGGCGGGGCTGTACTTCCCCTCGCAGAGGATACACTCGAAGGGATGGCAGGGGAGCCAAACGACGTCGCTTCCCGTGTCCATGTACAGAGACACAGTCTGAGAGCCGAGGGAGAAAGACAGGGTGTAATCGCTTCCGGGGGTGAGGGGGAGGGAGATTTTCCCGAGAGAGGCGGCGCGGCGGTGGTAACGGCGGAGGCGGGCGGCGGAGCGGGCGGAAGTGGACTTGAGGAGGTGGTGGGTGCTGTTGAATTGGGATGTGGAAAGGGAATGAGTGAGGGGAAGAAGTAATATCTCAGATGAATATATGGGGAGTAGGATGAAGAAGAAGAAGAAGAAAACAGGGGAAGCCATTGAAAACAGGGGAAGAAAGGAAACGTTTCAACGAAGCGGTGGCGAGACGATGAAATTTATGGACTGAAACTCAAGGCAGGGGGGGTTTGGTGGGTTTTGGAGGCATCATGAAAATAAAGGAGAATCTAATGATTTTTATTTTTTTTAAAAAAAGGACTATTGTGATCCTCACACCAAAATTTAACAATCCCTCCATCTCAATATATTTTATTTAAAAATTAGTATGGAATTGAAAAAATAAAAATTAAATATTTGAAAATTATGTCAAAAGTTCAACAAAAAAGAGGTAACAAAAAAGGACACGACTAATCTTAATGTTAGTTGCCATTATTGTAAAAAAAAGGACACATCGCACTTGTGTTCTTTACTTAGTATAGACACCTGATTTTGAGCCAATATGATATAATGTATGGTGATTATTTAATTTTATGCTAACAACCCTCGACGTAAAAAGCGTTTCGTACCAAGATTTGCTTTGTAGGTTCCTTGAGGAAAATTACGCTTGAAGACTTTGACTTGAGGTGAATTAGATGCGCCAAACACGTAATTGGGTACAACATCAATTAAGGTGAAGTTGGTTTACATTATATAATCCTACTCTTGTTGATTTATATTTTAGTTGGATGATATTCTGTACTTATTTGATATCTATGCTTGAGCATATCAAAAATGCTAGGGGTACACCAAATCTTGTACCCCATTCGTATCTCCTCTAGGGGCAGACCTACGTAGGGTCAAATGACACCAGTGGCATTTGTATAATTAACATATACTCCCTCCGTCCATCTGTATTTGTCCACTTTCATTTATGCACACCATCCAATGCACTTTTTTAATTCATTTTATCTTGTAATTTGTATATTAAAAAATTATAAAAATGATATATTAATAATCTATATGTTAAGACAAATCAAACAAGATCACACATGACTATATTTAGGCTTACACATTGAGAGAATTTGATGAGTCAAAGTGCTTAGATGAACAGTTCCAAAAGTCAAATATGGACAAATACAGGGGGACGGAGGGAGTATGTAGTAGAATCAATATTAGCAATGGTGGTTTAGTTGGTTTGGAGCTCCACTTTCTCCCCTGAGCAGCTTGAGTTTGATTCCCATGGAGTGTCAAAAACTTTTGAATTTTTTATTACTTCCTTTATCAAGTCTTCTTTTCTTTATATTTTTTCCTAATTTCTAATTTTTTTACCTTTTATTCATGAAATTTTTTATTTCTTCTTATGGAAAAGTTTTCAAGTTTATATTGGAACAATGAAAATAAATATATCTCCCCTTTTCTAAAAAATTGGCCTCTTTGAGAATTTCTGATTGTGTATTTGTTGATTATTTTATTTTATTTCATTGAAAATATGACACCACTCTTTATCATTTCTGGGTCCGCCACTGCCTCCCTCCATCTCCGCCACACAAATGCAAGAGAGAAAAAAATTTAAAAGTGAAAAAAGAAATTAATGGTTATAATCAATGATGTATAAATGAGATATACCAAAAATAGTGTACCTCTAGCATTCCTCTGACTCCCTCTGAGCATATATATCCTCTTGCCCATTATCTTTTTGATAATGTCATAAGAGAGAAAATAGTAAAGATATGCATATGTTTAAGGAGAATTTTTGTTTGTGCATATATTAGCGGATAAATATTAGAATCATAAGTGATAACGATGTAAGTTTGAAAACTATATAAAATAATGATACATATTTAACAAATCGCAGCAGGTAATACTAGAATAAACTATGTAAAATCTCAACATTTATTTAACACTGAAATTTGACATAGAATGTAAAAGTAATTTGAACATGAGTAATTTGATTGGGAAGGGTACGACTCAAACGGAGGTACGTAGTAAGTGCAAATACGCACGAATGTATTGGTAAGCAATAATACGCACGAATGTATTGGTAAGCAAATACGCACGAATGTATTGCAATAATTTGAACATGGTTATTTGCCACATTTGCTTTTTCAACAGTCGCGGGAACTTTTGTTTATTTCTAAGTTTTCATTGGTTATTTGATAAAATAAAATATTCTTGACACCTCTTACTTCGAAGAACTTTTCATGTAGTTTTTTGATATGTAATTTTTATTTTTTATTTCTTTACCAATATGTAAATAAAATAAATTGAAAAACTTGATATTTTACCTCGGTAATAGAAATGTGACAAATAATTAGGGACAGAGGAAGTAATTTTCAATTAGGGTCCATAAAATATGGTTCCTCCCACTCCCACTTGATGACGAGGCGACCGCCTCATGGTCCAGACTTTTTGTACACGGCTGCGCCGACATGTAATTATTGCACTCATATATACATCTTGAAAAATGTTAGGGGTACAAAATGTGTACCCCATTTGTCCTCACCCCCTCTTTGCCCACAAAAAAAGGTATGAAATTCAAAAAAAAATTAATAAATAAAAATGGGTGATGGAGAAGGAAGTGGTGTACATTTGGGGTACACTTTTGGTGTACCCCTAGCATTGCTCATACATCTTAGCTTTCTTCTTCTTCCCTATCCCATTGCTTGCTGGCGGATTCCTCACTTGATGGCGGGGAGGCGGAAGAAAACAAAAGGAAACGGCACATAAAGTAGTAAGGGACGGCTCTACTCTCCTCCCCAGATAGAATATGCAAAAAACACACCGAGTAAAAGTAAAAGAATGTGCAATACTAAGTTGGTAACACCACATTTGATAGATGGGAATAATGGGATATGTTAGGGGTGCACCAAAGGTGTACTCCAAATATACATCACCACTTCTTTTACTATTTATTTTATTTTGTTTTTCATTTTTTATTTTTTTTTTAAATTTTTCTTGTTTTTTTTTGTGGTGATGGAGGGGGTGAGGGATGTTTGGGGTACACTAAAAGTGTACCCCTAGCATTTTCCTTGATGGATTTGTACTCCGTATGTTATAGTCACCTTAAATTTGATACCCTCCCTAAACGGATGTCATGGTTTAACTTTTTTGTAGTATCTTTTAAGTTTTAACCACAAATTAAATATAGTTTAACATAATTAAATATTACTCCCTCCGTCCATAAATAAGCGTTCAAATCATTTTACATGAAAAATGGTATGGAATTTAAAAAATTAAAAATTACATACTCCGCATTTAAAAATTACATTAAAAGATCTACAAAGTTAGAACTGACATGACTATATTATTTTATCAAATAAAACACAAAAATAAGCCAATAAAATAAATAAAATTTAATCTTGTAAATAATAAACGAGCACTTTATTGTTGGACGGGAGAGATATAACACAAATGAAATACTCTTTCATAGAGTATGTGTAAGAAATAAGTATATTTTTACTTGACATTTATGATGAGGAAGGAAAAATATTACTCCGTACAAGTACTTTTTGGTCTAACAAAAGTATTCAACTAGGGAGTATTGTTTACGTGGTAAGGTCACTCTTATTTTCTTAAATTTTAATATAGTTCTTTAATCAATTATATTAAAAATAATTACAATCAATTAACGTAAAATAAAACAAAAATATTTTTGCGAGATGGATCAAGTACTACTCGGGATGCACCAACAGATGAGCGAGGTAACTCAGGTAAGTAAATATTTTTTTGACCAAGGTAAGTAAATATGTACTTCTTAGATGTGCAATTTTTTTTTAAAAAAAATATAAACAAAAATTATGAAAAAAACTACAAAAATTTTTTGAACCTTCAATTCACCATAGAAACACTCTGTAAGGCTAATTCTTTTGTAATTCTAAAGTCCACACTTATTATATGACCCTTAGAGCACTGGTAATACCCCTCACACCCACCGGCGTTACAGGGCGTTTAACGCCCCGGGGGCGTGAAACACCGCCTCCCGCCGGCGTGAAACGGGCGTGAGGGCGCCTGCGTCATTCGTTTGACGCGGCGTGACTCTTGCGCGGCTCCTCCTAACGGCTAAAAAACCCGTTGCAGCCCACATTTCAAAAAAAAAAAAAAAAATTCCCTATAAATTCAACCCCCAACCAATCTCTCACACCTTCTCTTCAATCTCTTCCTCTTTCTTATTTTTAAATTTCAAAATTCAAACCCCCCCCTCCCAAATTTCAACATGAATCCTTCCGGCTCCGGCTTCTTTCCCGACGATCTCCCGCCCGTTGACGCCGCGATGTGGTATTACCGACGGGAACCAAGGCAAGGTGCCCATCGATCTTTGGAGGATTTTGAGTCGTTCCCCGAAGTGGCAACAACTCAACAATCCCGACGGCGGATCGTTCCGGAAAAGATCCACCGTCGACGCCGAGGTTGAGGTCGACGAGACTATCGGTTCTAGCGATCAAATCCCTCCCTTCAACGTTGCGGATTCCGATGACGAGGACCCCATTCCACGGCCGATCGGAAGAAAGAAGGCAAAATCCATTGCCTCGGGTTCGGGAGGGTCCGCCTCTGTTTCCGCTTCTCCCCGCGACGAAATCGGCTGGGCAATGATTGAACAACTTCGGGCGTTCAATCTCCAAGAACAAGAGAGGTTGAAGCTAAAGGAGAAGGAGTTGAAGCTAAAGGAGCAGGAGGCTGAGATGAAAGTCATGCAA